TATTAGACCGTACAGGGGGAAGCCGCCGCCAGAGACCAAGAAGCCTATGCGGCAGTGCCCTACGTCCCAGGTCTCAGCGAAAGGATAGCCAAGGTTCTCAGGCCACACAGAATCAAGGTAGCTCACAAATCCAAGCGATTGAGGGGTCACCTGGTTAACGTCAAAGATCCCGTGGAGCAGAGCAAGAAGAAAGGGGCCGTATATGAGATAAAGTGCTCGTGCGGCTCCAGCTATATCGGAGAGTCAGGGCGACCAAAACAGGACAGATTGAAGGAGCACACCGCCGATATCAAGCACGCACGCTGCGATACGTCAGCGACGGCCAGACACTTTTGTACCTGTGGCGGTGACTTGAACCCGTTCGAGGCGAGAACCCTAGCCATCGAACGCCACTGGAAAAAACGTAAAATCAGGGAGGCCATCGAGATCCGACAGCTGCGCCCGTCAATGAATCTCGACAGCGGTGGCGTCCAGCTGAGCCCAATATGGGACATTGTGCTAAAAAAATAGTGGTTGGCACGCTGAACGAACACGCGAGGGGGGGGGGTCACCTTGTGTAAGTGTGACTTACCTGTAACTGAAGTGACGCTCTTTTTATTAAATTAGCGCTGATTGTCTAAATATTTAATTAAAATTCCGTGATAGACAGTGATATTGTATAAGTTCTTAGGAAGGCGGTATCGTATAGGTTATTTTATCTGCACTGGAGGACCCAGCTCCACCGATTGCATGGGAATTGTGTTATTTTGTTGTGCTTAACAAAGCTCGCACTGTGCATCACTCGCATTGAAAAAGGTACCACTACGAGTATCGAAATATTTGCTATCAATTTTTCAATATATATCACTCAAGAAACTCCGAAAATATTATTTCATATTCATTATAACTTGAGGAAAAGGTAACATGACTCTTAAGTCATACATTGAGGTTCTGACAGTCCTGATTTTCCCGACTTTTGGGTCGTTGGCATGACTTGGAAGGTCAACCAATGACCTAGGACCTTAAAATTGGGTATCATCGGCTTTCTCTCGTCACGGGCAGCATGCTCGTTTTTTTCCGCGAAGCTCTAGCTCGATCAGAGGCCAAACGGCAAGGGGGGCCCAACAACCCCTTGTACGTTCGCGGCTGGCAAAACACCAATACCGGCGAGGGTTAACTCGACCTGTGACTTTGGAACTGAACTTAACCCTCGCATGTGTAGGGGGGGTCGGATGGACCCCCCCATGGTTTTTCGCAAATAACTCGCGTAAAAAGCGGCCGATCGCGACGAAACTTTCAGTACCCTCTCATTGATCAATTTTACACCTACCCTGAAAATTTCATGACCCTGACCCAAATGACCTTTGACCTGTGACCTCTTTTCCGAGACCATGTTTGGCCGGAATCGCGATTCCGCGTATGTCGGCTCGCATTAGCAGCGCGTTTGCAAGCTTTTCGTGGTTTCAAACGTTCAAACATGTGATTTGATGTTGCTCCCATGCATTAGAATGGGTGTCAAGGTCACCTGAAGGTCAGGTCAGGTCATTGACCTTTGGTGACCTCGGGTGACCTCGGTTCACTTTTTCGAGTTTTACATGTTTCTAGGCTAGTTTTTGGAGCTGAATTCGAATTTAGCAACCATTTGAACATTTACGAAGTAGTTTTGGTGCCTTCGTAACATGTTACGAAGCTGTCAGAGGCGGTTGACACGTACTACGAATACCTACCCGTCACAACCCCTACCGGTTGACCTGACCTGACCTGACCCGACCTGGTCTAAATGCTTAAATACATCATCTCTGATCAAAACTAACACGATATTCGTGATCGGCACCCCGAAAAACCCCTTAGCAGCCACACTTTACGACTTTCTAATAGGTCCCGATTTTCCCGACTTTGGGTCATTGACCTGACCTGGAAGGTCAACCAATGACCTAGGACCTTAACCCGCGCCGGGCCGGGGGGGGGTGTTTGAACACCCCCCCTTGCGGTTTTTCGCAGATATCTCAAAAACGGCGGCGCGGAGCGCCGCCGTTTTTGGCACACCTGTTTGTGCATCTTTTCCGCACATGTTGTGAAAATTTCAGACCCAGGTCACCTTAGGTCAGGTCACCAGGTCACGCCAAGTGACCTCACCTCAGAAAAAATAAGAATGCTCGTCATAGCTACACCGACTGAACGATTGCCTTGAAACTTTCAGTGATTGATTAGAGCAACACTATCTATAAAATGTTTATCTCAGAATTTTGATATCGGTGACCTAAGGTCAGGTCAATTTTGCGGCCTCTCCATTATAAGTCAATGGGAGAAAATTGAAAAGCGTCTGTTTTGCACGAACGCTATTCTAGACACTCTCAAACATCGAGATGTAGGTAAAATAGACACACTGAACCAGGAAATGGCAACTGTGACCCCTCGTTATGTCCCCGAGGTCATCTCAGGTCACGAACAGAATCTAACAGTTTTTCAATGATAACTTCTGATAGAGGAGCGCTAGAGCGCTGAAAACGCCTTAGATGTGTTCGGCTCGACGTTGCAGATCGACTGATATGCAACATGACCTTTTCCGGTCAGGTCATGACCTTGACCTGAGGTCAAATTTTTCAAGTTGACCTTTCAAGGTCAAATTATAGTTCATTCAACGCGTCTCGACGAGAGGAACACGATGCTGGCAAAAGTAATGTCATAGCTCTTTTGAGTCAAAAGTTATTGCCGAAAAACCGATTTTCGTAAAAACGGCTATTTTTGGAGTTTTTGCCCTCTGGAAGCTTAACTGTTGACCTGAGGTCAAATCTGAGAACATTACTCAGAAAGGTCTGTAAAAGGGCTATCGAATGCGCTTTTTTGCGGCGCTGTAGCTCTATCGGTTCCCGAGATAGCCGTTGGCAGTTTCCAAAATGTTGAAATAGTCAACATTTTACCTTTGGTGACCTCTGGTGACCTGACCTTTGACCTGACCCAAAAAATGACCGAAGTGTTTTCGTCCTTATTTTTGACGTTCTTTCGATTGCCGCTTACCGCGTGTCGCTACGTGGCCCAGGAGCCGAGTTAGAAGGGGGGGGGGGGTGTTCAAACACCCCCCGCGGCCCGGCGCGGAATCTCAGAGCACCGGCCCGGCGCGGGTTAAAATTGGGTATCATCGGCTTCCTCTCGTCACGGGCAACACGCTCGTTTTTTCCGCGAAGCTCTAGCTCGATCAGGGGCCAAACGGCAAGGGGGGGGGTCCAACCGACCCCCCCCCCTACACATTAGAAGCTGGCAAACGCCGCACACATGCGAGGGGGGTTAAATCATCAGAAGTGTCTCGTCACGTTCTTTTGTTAGCCGCCTCGCCCGTTTCGCTGCGCCTATTGGTTCTTGAGTTGAGTTATCGGCTGGGAATGTTTTACGCCTCCCCCTAGCAAATGGTGTGTGGCAAAATACTCCAGCAACTTCCATGTTAGGTTATTTGAAGTTCATTGGCAGTTTTCAATTTGATTTACCAAATCTGTCCCGGTGGCTCTTGTCAATATAAGCAGAATGTGACTCAATTCGATGGAATTAATGGTGTGAAGTGCTTTAGCGAGGAACATAGCGAGAATAGATACGTGAAAAATCATTTACCTTTTCCTCGAAAATGTAAAAACAATGCCAAAAGTTATATTGAATGCGGTGAGCTTTCGGTTACAAGCCTTCGTCAAACCAAAAAAAATGACACAATACAAAATTCTGTACAAAATGACAATACAAAATGACGGAATTTTGTATTGTGTCATTGTGTTGGTTTGACGAAGGCTTGTACCCGAAAGCTCACCGCATTCAATATAACTTTTGGCATTGTTTTTACATTTTCGAGGAAAAGGTCAATGATTCTTCACGTATCTATTCAGAATGTGACTCGATGCACCAAGCGTCGTCTCGCTCTCCCAGAGAAGGCAGCGTCGTCTCGCTCTCCCAGAGACGGCGCGCCGGGAGTGGGGACGTGAGCCACGGGGACGTGGCCTTGGCCGTTTCCTGCGGGGCCGCGCCGTCTACGGAGGAGGGGAAACCTTGCCCGGCCTGAGGGAGGGAACGGCGGCGGCACCGGGACGCCCCGCCGCTCCGAGACCGGCGCTCACTGTATAAACAAGCAAAAACATTGGCTGTGCGAAGCCTGCCTGTGCGTTGACAGAGGAGGCCTCTAGAGGAAAGTTTCGTAACTGCGCAAACCTGTAACAAAGATGTCGCTCGAAGCGCAGTGGAAATTGTAGGTTTTGATCCAAGTGAAAATTGACATCTCAAGGACGACGATATGATGAAAATTAATGTGGAACGGTTTTGCATGATGCGTAATTTAATTAACGTCATTCATTATCTCCTGCCTTTTTGTGTGAAACGATTTTGTACCTTGCGCTTTTGTATGATACGATTTTGTACGCTGCGCTTTTGTATGTTTTGACTGTCCCCTACCCGGCCTGTTTTGTAGGTTTTGCGCGTTGTATGTTACGATTTTGTATGTTTTATTGATTGTATGCTAGGATTTTGTACGCTTTGATATGGAGCCGGTGCAACTTCGACCGGAAAATGAGGGAGGCGTGAGGCATCGCTGAGAGGCTCTGATGATTGGCCACGAATGAGTGAATGAGTAAATGATTGAATGGGTGAATGAATGAATGAATGAATGAATGAATGAATGAATGAATGAATGAATGAATGAATGAATGAATGAATGCATGCATGCATGCATGAATGGACGGACGGACGAACGGACGGACGGACGAACGAACAAGTAGGTCGATGAATGGATAAATGAAAAGTGAGTACCTATGCGGTGAGCGGAGCCAGTTATTGTGAGAAGGTAAGTGAGGCCGTGGTACAGCCGCGGAGGGTACCTGAGTGGTTTATTTTACCCCGGGCCTGACCACGTGACATGTGCCCCTCACTGCCGGCCTGGTCCGACGGTACTCGTCTGTGATCACGTGACATCAGCCTGTATCGCTTTCTGCCTAGACAAGTGACTTTCTGGTCAGCGGACATTTGTCTCCGCTCACGTGATATTTGTCCCACGTTTCCCTCCTGGTCAGCTGACATGTGTCGCTGCTCACGTGACTAACGGGTCAACCTCTGTGCAGGTTCGCCCTCGGCGCCAAGTATTCTGTCGATAAGGACAGCAGCTTCCGCGCCAAGGTCAACAACAGCTCCGAGGTCGGCCTCGGCTACCAGCAGCGCATCCGAGACGGTCAGTGCGCCGACAGCGCGGGCTCAAATCCCACTGCATACAGAAATTTTCCAAACATAATTCAAGATGATTGAATTTCAATATTTAAATTTTAATATTTTAAATTTCAAAATTTTTACCCGTAGTTTCTGTTCTTGTCGTGATGAATCTGTGGCAAGAATATCTGATAGCAGATAGTTATACGTGCTGGATTTCCTAAGCATATGAACAAAATGTTGCTGGCATTTGTTTTGCAGTTTTGAATTAACATTTCTTCTATCTCATTTTTTGGAGCCTGTGAAATTTCAGCCTTATTTTGCTTCATGCTTGATGAAACGTTTTACACTACCGTCGCAAAATAGTGTACATAAACATACAGCATTGTTTGAATATTGTGTGCAGCACGCAAAAATATTTCATTATTTGGCGTCATCGCATCACCTACGCGTCATGAATACCACCGCTGGCCCTCCGCCGCCCCGTGGCGGCGGCCGAACCTGAGCTTCTCGCTCCGTCCGACAGGTGTCACCCTGACGCTCTCCAGCATGATCGACGCCAAGAACTTCAACCAGGGCGGCCACAAGCTGGGCCTCTGCCTGGAGCTGGAGGCGTAAGCAGCTCGGCTTCGCTCGGGAGCAGAGACTGGCGAGAGTGGGAGCGTGAGAGAGCGAGAGAGAGCGGGAGAGCACGTGCACATGTGGCGGGCGCGGCCGGGAGAGGTGGTGTGATCCGGTCTCGTATAGAGTGACGTCATCCACTCCTTAGGTGACGTCACCGGGGCGTTTAGGTGTGACGTCACTGGTGTTTAGCTATGACGTCACTGGTGTCCAGCTGGGACGTCTCCGGGACTTGGTTTGGGTTTGGAGATCGGTGTTTAGCCGGGCGGCGGCCGGCGGCGGCTGCTGATTGGCTGCCGGTGGTTCGCGGTGGCCGCTGATTGGCTGCCGGCCGGCCGACTGTGGTGTGACGTCATTGTATGGCCTGGTGCGATTTGCCGGGGTAGGCAGCGGTCCCCGTCCCGCCGGCCGGCCGGCCGACCACCCGGTCTTATACAGGAGAAAACGCCCCGGCCTGTCCGGCGCAACTGGGCGGGGCATAAACCGCCCCCGGCGCCGCGGTGGGCGGGGCACAAAATGGTGGATACTGTGGAGAGCCGGCCGGCCGGCGGGTCGGCGGAGACCGAGACAAATATACACTGAGTAAGACGGGAAACACGGTGTTTTAGGGTCCGGAACACACGGCGTCTGCTACAGTGAGACGGGATACACACTACACACGGTGTTTTTAGGGTCCGGAACACACGGCGTCTGAAAGACAGTGAGACGGGATACACACTACACAGGTGTTTTTAGGGTCAGGAACGCACGGCGTCTGAAACGCAGTGAGACGGGATACACACTACAACACGGTGGTTTTAGGGTCCGGAACACACGGCGTCTGCTACAGTGAGACGGGATACACACTACACACGGTGTTTTTAGGGTCCGGAACACACGGCGTCTGAAAGACAGTGAGACGGGATACACACTACACAGGTGTTTTTAGGGTCAGGAACGCACGGCGTCTGAAACGCAGTGAGACGGGATACACACTACAACACGGTGGTTTTAGGGTCCGGAACACACGGCGTCTGAAACGCAGTGAGACGGGATACACGGTGTTTTTAGGGTCCGGAACACACGGCGTCTAAAACACAGTGAACGTTATACACACTACACAGGTGTTTTTAGGGTCCGGATTACACGGCGTCTGAAAGACAGTGAGACGGGATACACACTACACACGGTGGTTTTAGGGTCCGGAACACACGGCGTCTGAAACACAGTGAGACGGGAAACACACTACACACGGTGGTTTTAGGGTGCGGAACGCAGTGAGACGGGATACACACTACACACGGTGGTTTTAGTGTCCCGGGAACGCACGGCGTCTGATACGCAGTGAGACTGAGGTAAACAGCGTTTTATAGGGTCAGTGTAGACGGGCAGCACAACATTTTAGGGTCATCGAAACGGTTAACACTGGAAAACGGTGTTTTAGACACAGAGGCAGCTGACAAATTGTGTTTGAAACTCAGACAGCTGATATAAGGTGTTCCGCGAGACGCACAGACACGGTTTTTGAGACAGAAATTGGTTACACGGTGTTTGAGACACAGACAGCTGACACACGGTGTTTGAGAGACATACTCTTGTCACTCTGCCCCCTTGTGTGTCAGCACGGTGCGTCATGTTTGTTATTTGGAGATTATTTAGACATCTTAAAGCATCCGTTCGGAATACTTGTCCGGGGTTACATGAGCGATCCGTTCCAAATACGCACTACGCTAATGCGTATCAGCTCCCCACAAACGTATCTACGGCACCGGTTACATGAGACTAATTCGTTTTATCTACGTCAAACGGATCTTGTTTGGCTCACCCGGGCTGACTCCTCGACGGCCGATAATTCGCATCACAAACGGAATAGGATTAGCGTACAGTCTGTCTTAAAAGTACCGCGCAAAGTGACGGTGGATCCATCAAGCCTGACCGAGGAAGGGCCTGCTATAATTTGAAAGTCACCGAACCAATGGAGCTGGGGAATGGACGAGGATGTCCATTGCTTCGGTGACTCAAATTTGGCAGTCCTTCATCGGTCAGGCTTGATGGATCCACCGTCACTTTGCGCGGTACTTTTAAGACAGACTGTACAGTCATGGCGCAGTTGCGGCATTTACCGGGACGACTGAACTAAATTTTAAATACTTCTATCAATTGATAGGCTCGAAAACATTTAAAATTAACATGAAATCAAAAAATGAAAACAAAGTTTTCTTGGTTTAACCCGCGCACCGACGGGGGGGGCGGATATCCGCCCCCCCTGAGGTTTTTCGCAGAGCGAAATTTTGTACGACTATTCTCTCATCAATTTTACACATGGTGTGCAAGTTTGAACCTCCTAACTTTTAAGGTCAGGTCACCAGGTCACTTTGAATGACCCAACCTCAAGTCACTTTTTTGCAACTTTGTCACCGTGCCAGAGCTACAGTAGATGTCGGAGGCCTCTGAAAGTCGCAGGATGTTATTAGGTCATTATCTAATCTTTAACGAGTTATCTAATCATTATCTAATCTTTAACGAGTTTGCAAAAGATGACGGATGTCATCACTGTCAACCGTGGAAGCCGTATGGCTACCCATCTACGCTGGAGTACGAAAAACATCATCCCACGCTCTCAGTCCCAGCGGATAAAAACAACACCTAAGAATTATTAGGTCATTAGTAGCTACAATTTGTATATCTCGGAATTTTGATGTCGGTGACCTAAGGTCAGGTCAATTTCGCGACCTCCCCATTATAAGTCAATGGGGGAAAAATCAACTCCCTGTTTTCAGGGGCGGATCCAGGGAAACTCCAAGGGGAGGGTCATGAATCGAAGTGGTGCCCCTACCTATACCCAAAATTAAAAACTCAACGGATTTCGTCCACTTCATTTAAGTGGTGCCCCCATTTTCAGTTTTTATTTTTATTTTTTATTTTTAGTCAGTATCTTAAGTCTTAGCCACAACCTCATTTACCAATTGTAAGCAAGTATATATGAATGTGCTATGTGTATATATGTTGTGGACGCTGAGTAGTGAGTACTTACCAGGAACGTTATCAGGTAAGCAAATCGTTGTCAGTCCGACGAACTTGACCCTGGCGTCTAAAGGGTCTGTCCTTGACACTTCAGGCTTGTCAGGGGCACCAAAGTCCTTCCAGGGACACCACAAACCTGTCAGGGGCACCTACGGCCTTGTAGGGGCGCCACAGGCCCGCCAGGGGCACCACAGGCCTGCCAGGAAGCAGGGGCACCTCAGGCCTGCCAGGAAGCAGGGGCACCACAGGTCTAGCAAGTATACACGACAGGCCTGTCAGGGGCACAACGGGCCTGTTGGGCCCATGAGCACCCCTAGGGGCAGGGGCACCACAGTCCTTCCAGGGGCACCGCAGGCCTGTGAGGGGCACCAGCGGCCTAGCAGGGGCACCAGTCAACACAGGCCTGCCAGGGGCACTACAGACCTGCCAGGGGCACCAGAGGCCTGCCAGGAGCACCACCGACCTCGCAGGGGTAACTTGGGCCTGTCAGGGCCCAGGGGCACCACGGGCCTGTCGAGAGGCACTTCAGGCTTTTCAGGGGCACCATAGTCCTCTCCGGGCGCAGGGGTAGCAGGGGCACCAGAGGCCTGCCAGGGGCACTACAGGCCCAGCAAGGGCACCACCGGTCTATCAGGGGCACCACGAGCCTGTCATAGCCAGGCATCTCAGGCTTGTCAAGGCCCAGGGGCACCACAGGTCTGTTAGGGGCACCAGCGACCTAGCAGGGGCACCAGTCAACACAGGTCTTCCAGGGGCGCCACAGACCTGCCAGGGGCACCAGAGGTCTGCCAGGGGCACCACCGGCCTCGCAGGGGCACCTTGGGCCTGTCAGGGGCACCACGGGCCTGCCGAGGGGCACTTCAGACTTTTCAGGGGCACCAGTCCTCTCCGGGCGCAGGGGTACCAGCGGCCTAGCAAGGGCACCAAAGGCCTGCCAGGGGCACCACCGGCCTAGCAAGGGCACCAGAGGCCTGCCAGGGGCACCACAGGCCTAACAAGGGCACCACGGGCCTGTCAGGGGCACCTCAGGCTTGTCAGGGCCCAGGGACACCACAGTCCTTCCAAGGGCACCGCAAGCCTGTCAGGGGCACCAGAGGCCTACCAGGGGCACCACAGGCCTAGCAAGGGCACCACTGGCCTGTCAGGGGCACCTCAGGCTTGTCAGGGCCCAGGGGCACCACAGTCCTTCCAGGGGCATTATAAGCCTGTCAGGGGCACCAGAGGCCTAGCAAGGGCACCACAGGCCTGCCATGGACACCACAGGCCTGCCAGGGGCACCACCGGCCTTGAAGGGGCGCCTCAGGCCTGTCAGGGGCACCACGTGCCTGCCGGGGACACTTCAGGCTTGTCAGGGGCGTTACAGTCCTGTCAGGGCCCAGGGGCACCAGGCCCGTGGTGTCCCTGCTAGGCCTGTGGTGCCCCTGGCGGTCCTGTGTTGCCCCTGTCAGGACTGTGATACCCCTGATAGGCCGGTGGTGCCCCTGGCAGGTCTTTGGGCCCCCGGGCCTCAAGGGGGGGGCATGACCCATGTGACCCCCCCCTTGGATCCGCCACTGCCTGTTTTTACCACTAAAACGGGTCGGAATGGCCCCATATACCATACATGACCTTATATACGATCAACCTTCACTACCTTGAGGTCTGTTTTGCTGTTGGGCAGCTGTAAGGTCATGTGACGTCATCAAAGGTCACCAAAGGTTTTTTGCCAATAACTCCGTACAGGAACAAGATACAGCCGAGCAAATGGTCTCATTGTGTTCAGCTCGTCAAGACGCATCGAATGATATAAATGATGACCTCGAGGTCACGTGACCTGACTTCAGGGGCAAAAAAATCACCTTGACCTTTCGAGGTCAACATATATATATATATATATCATTCGATGCGGATTGACGAGAGGATCACGATGATGCCCTTAGTTTGCTCCTATCTTGACTAATTCTTAAGTTATTTGAGAAAAACTCTCCATTTCTAGCGCCGCCATTTTGACTTTTTCGACCCCTGTGACGTCATCTTTGACCTGACCTGAAAATGACCTTAGTAAAATTGTAGACCTTGTCCGTGCGTATCCGATGCCGTTTACCGCTTGTCGTTATCTTGCTTCGTTCTCGAGATCTCAGGGGGGGGGGGGCGGTCATCCGCCCCCCCCCCCGTCGGTGCGAAGTTGGCGCAGACCCCCGTCGGTGCGCGGGTTAAGTCACTGTGCACTGATTCGCCATGCAGCGACAGCAGGGTGGTCAGAAAAAAATTATCTATCAAAATATTTCATTCATTTTATTTTTGATCTTTATCTAATTCACCTTCAAAGACTAAACCGAAATATCAACATTTCTTTTTGCTATTTTCTACGAGGCAGCCAATAAAAAAAAATGCTTAGTATTTTGCATTTTGACGCTTCCATTCAGCAAAGAATAGTTCTTGTGAAATACGGCCCGAATCGTGTGCCTCGGTTACATGAGCGATCCGTTCCAAATAAATACGCACTATGCTAATTCGCCTCAGCTCCCCAAGAACGCATTCAGTGCACCGACTACATGAGCAAATTCGTATCAGTGACGTCAAACGGATCCAGTTTGGCTCTCGGCCTGACGG